TTGGCTTCATTCTGGTACCCAGGACACAGATCACCAAGGGCACCAAATTCTATCCAGGAAAATCCCTTCAGTAACAAATGCAGACACTAAAGCTTGGCAGCATGGCTACCATGGCTCTTATGGATACTTCTTTTGATTGGCAGGGAGGGGCCAGGGTGAATTTCAAAGAGAAACTTTTTCATAAAACTTAAAAAACACGCTATTATTTTGATTTTTTCTCCAGAATAGGAAACCATTTATAGTAGAGCTCAGGATCTAATTTATTTATCTTTTATTATGCTTATTCCCATTGTTTGATATGGTTAAGTCTCCAAAGTGAAGAGCTCAAAGAAAGGAAGCATGTAAGAGTTTTACATGATCACAATAATGCTTATTTATCATGGAGCCCTCTGATTCAGATGCTCCATAGGAAATGAGTCATAATGTGCACATGGTCCGTTAACACAGTAACAGTCTAGGTGCTGGTTCACAGTGAGAGAAGGAGCTTGTTCAGAATGGAAATCACTGTGTTGCTTCCTTCATTGAGATTGTCATGCTTCAAGGAAAAGCCAGCGTAGTGCCCTTTCAACAGCCAAACCAAGCCTTCCTATGCATGCTTCCTCTTTGCTGCCTTCTTGAAAGATGCAAGACAAAGGGCAGCCCAGTGCTGCTGTGGCTTTGAAAAGTTCTAGAAACTGTCTGTTTCTCAGGTCCTGACAGGGAAGATGTCAGTAAGGTGGAGAGGAAGCGTGATGCAGGCACAGGGTACTGAGGAGAGATATCAATATGTCAGCACAAAGAGTCAGAGGGTACAGGCTGATGAGGACCTAAAATCAGTGGTTTGGATACCGGCAGTTCTAGCGGGAGAAAAAACAGGAAGCAGGTGCTGGCTCACTTTGGGTAAGGGAGGAACAGATCCTTCCTTGAAGAAGGCACAAGGGAGTTGAGGGGTGCTCTCAGGGCAGAGCCCAAGTTTCACCTGGGCCAAGAGCTTGGAGGAAGTGTGATGAGAGCTGGGAACGTGAAAAGCAGTGAGCCCAGATGGCACTGTGGGAGGGTTCCAGGGTGTACAAAGCAGTGGACATTGACTTGGGCCTGTAAGAACCTTGTTGGGGTGAGCGGTGGGGTAAGGTAGGAGTTACTGTGGTGCTCTAGCGAGACAGGAAATCAGCAGGATGAGGTAACCCTGCTGCTCTCAAGAATAGGAAGGAAGTCATAGCTCAGTGTTGTGGATGCTTCAGTTTAATGCTCTCCCTGCTCCTCTCATCCCAGAGGAGTGGGCTCCTTCGTCATTTACACACCCAGTAGATTGCAATTAAATGTGATAATATAATGAAATGGCTTCCATCTGGGTTTACTAAACTTACTTTTGCAGAAATATTTATATAGAACCATGTTATGCAAAATCCTCCGAAGACTTGTCAGAATACAAATACAAAGGGAAAATGGTGACTTGTGCCCCCAGTGGCTGCCAGTTTTATAAGAGAAACATATTTTGTTCAAAGAGAACTCATTGGCAAAAGAACACCATTCAGGTAACCTAACCCAAACCACTGCAAGGCAAAAAAAGGCAAACAGCCCGTTTTCTAAAGGAAAGATGCATCTTCTGCTTTCAAGATCAACATGAGAAAACTGGCCTCATTAATCATAATTTTGAAGATGCTGGAATTAATTATGGCTTTAAAAATTTATTTTCCACCAGCTTTTTCCACTTCTTGGAATACAAAAAGAGAAAAAAATGTGTAAATCAAATGCAAAAACTTTAAATCCTTGCCTTGGTCTAGCTACAGTGTGAAGTAAATCAAGTGGCAATTTAATTTCCAATGACCATGTGACAACTAGGGAGTTAAATATTAGATTTAAATTGGGGAGCTCATTCTCCACAAGAATTACATTTATGTCTTTATGTGGGCAGTCTACTAATGAACATATTTCTCTCCTCTTAAATCTAGGCGTTGCTACTAGGGCATGAGAAATTAATGTACATTCTTCTATGCATTAATATCGTTGCTTGTGAAAAGACCTTTGGATTTTTTTCACCGGGAGGTCCCAGAGGCTCACAGAGTCACTCATGGATCAAAACCACATGAATTATCAGAAGGAAAATCTTATTAAAGCAAAACTTTAATTACCCCCTGAAATTTATATAGTTATGTCTTAAAAAATGATGTAGAGTGTGCAACAGTACAGAATGGGTAAATGTACATTTATATAGTCCTTTCACAGATATTATAAAATAATCAAAGGGAAGAATTACTACTATATAACACCGTGTAACTAAGGCTCGGGGCATTGTTGACTGAAAGACACAGATAGAGAGAATATGTATAGTATGGTTTCACTGATATACATTCAAAAGCAGGAAAAACTGAATGGTTTCTTTCTAGCGGTGTAACACTGGATGCAAAATAATGGAAGTGATAGACACAAATTTCACAATAGTGATGATCCCTGGGAGACTAGTAGGAAATTAGATAAAGCCAAGTAAGAATATAGCAACATAGCATCGCTTCCAAAATTACATGGACTAGGTGTCTCTAGTCCAAAAAATCAAAATCCTAAAGTAAAAATTTTCTGAGTACTAACATGAAACCACAAGAAAATTCCACACTTGACCTCATATGACTTGTCCCTGGAAAACCAAGGCACACCTGAAGTATTGCCTTCAGGCTACATGTATAAAAAACTTGTATGTATAAAAATTTATGAAATATACATAAATTCTGTATTCTGTGTATGAATTTTGAATTGTCATTCCCAAGATGTCTCAATACAAATATATTATATATGTATGCATTTTATATACAATATATATTATGTATGTGTGTATATACATATACACACACATAAATATTTCAAAATCTGAAAAAATACAAACTCCAAAGCACTTCTAATTACAAGCAGTTTGGGGTCAAGGAATACTCAAGCTGTAATGATAAATGGCACAATGGCATTGTAAGTACTCATTTTATTATTATTAAGCTGCAATTGTAGTTTATATCATCTGTTTTTCTTTTCTTTTCTTTTGGGGGGTACTGGGGATTGAACTCATGACTTTGTGCTTACCAAATAGGTGCTTGTGTCACTGAGCTAAATCCCCAGCCCCTCGTTTCCTTTTTTTAAACACATATCTCCACCAAAGAAAAAACTTTTAAAGAAAGAGTATTCAAATACATCACAACACTGAATCTCTAATGCTTAGTACCTGAAACATTGCATGAGATAGAGGAGATGAGAAAGATTGAACTCTGAACCTCAGGCAACCTATAGATTGGGCTGACTGGGAGACAAAATGCAATACAACAAAGAGAAAAGTATGAGCTACCAATTCAGAGAAGGACTTTTTCCTTCTCACAGTGGTCTTGGGAAAACCTCTCCAGCAGTAAGGATTTAAACTGGGCTTTGAAAGTGATCTAAGAGAGGAAGCAGGAAGATGATTCTTATTTTGTCTTTAGGTCTTATGTACATTGAGTCTTTCATCATTTTTAACATAATTTATAACTGAATAGATACTTTGTGGTATAGAAAGATACAGACTCTGAATTCAGACAGACTTAGGTTTCAATTCCCGTTCCTATTTCTATTGTCTGTTTCCCCTTTATAAAATACAGGTAGGAACAGTCCATAGGGTTGTGAAAGTGACAGGAAGGAGTGGTCGCAATCCCTTTTTCATACAGTCATCCCCAGCTGTCTGTGAGATATTGGTTCCAGGTCTGCCAGTGATACAAGGCCAAGGGTAGTCAAGTGCCTGATGTGAAGCTGTGTAGTATTTTTATATAACTACACAGTCCTCCCTCAGCCTTTAAATCATCTCTGGATTAGTTAGAATAACTAATAGAATGTAAATTCTGTGTCATTTGTTGTTATACCATATTATTCAGGGAATAATGACAAGGAAAATGGCCCATAATGAATCCAGTATAGAAGCAATTAGGTTTTTTGTTTTTAAACTTTGTTGTGTGCAGATTTTTGGGGAGGGGATCTAAATATTTTCCATCCAAAGTTATTGTACCAGCTCAGATGTGGAGCTGGTAGATATAGAGGACCAGCTACACTTCCATTGATTGATGAGGGGTTCCCAAAAGAATGCTGGTTTAAACCAGGAGAACATCCATGCTAAGACTCAGCGTTTGAAGTCCTAAGCAGCAAGGCACAAACTTGCACTGTAATTTTCTCATATGATCTCCTTTTGGGCTGATATAGTAGCTCTGTTTTTCTGTGTTGCTTTTCTCTTGTGTCTAATTTGCAGTCAGTGAACTCTGAGGGCATTGACTGCCTCTTGTCTTGCTCTCTGAAAAGGCATATGAATGAATGACTTTGGCCAGTTCTGCTCCAGACTATAGGGAAAAAGAGTCTTTGTTCTCCAGATTCACCTATTCTTGTGATTTCTTTGCTTTGGAGAGGCAAAACCAGGACATGTTATTAGATGTGGGCTAAGGAAACTATCCATTAGCATGGGGTCTACTCATTTCTTGTCTAAATGAAAGAAGTCACTGAGGCTCATCTGTGGTCAAGCCTGTCTCATTAGAAGGCTCTCTCAGGGATGAAGCCATTGCATGGTTCTTGCATTTCCCCTTGATATCCTATGAGTCTCTTTTCTTGGGAACATGAAATGGTTAACCAGGAAAGAAGAATTCCTGGGGATTCCTTTGCCTTTCCCACTGGACATATGAGTGACATACATATGCAGATGTCTGCCTCATCCAAGATTGGTCATTACCAGTAATTCCTTTCTCACATCTCTTTTTTCTCATTTAAATTTCATTAATGATGTTTTGGAGGCAACAGTCAGGCCTGTAGTTTTATCACAAACAGTAGCTGAGTTCTGGGGAATAAGCCAGTGGACCCTCCTGCCAGCCACTGGGAGCTACAGACTGTGGAGAGAACAGCATGCTTCTCCACTGCACTCTGTGCAGAAAACCCTGGACCTGCAAGCTCATGTTGTGGACTATGGATTCTCCACCCTTAGCCATACCTCAGCATGCTTCAATTCCAATTTCGATTCTGTCTTTCTTTTACAGTTGTTCAGCACATCAAGCGACATAACATTGTTCTGAAAAGGGAGCTAGGCGAAGGAGCCTTTGGAAAAGTTTTCCTAGCTGAATGCTATAACCTCTGTCCTGAGCAGGATAAGATCTTGGTGGCAGTGAAGGTAAGAGAACATCCCAGAATGTGTCCTTAACTTTGGTCACGCTATTCTGTGAAAATTGTACTTTATTTATTATATTTTAGTGGTCAGTTCAGGAGTAAATTATATCTATGACAGTGAATGTGTTCAAATCCTTTACTTGAACAGGCAGGTGGAAGATATTTGGGGTATTCTTAGCTGCCATGGGCTCTTTGCAAGGGCAGCCAATAAACCCACAGGCTGTGAAAAGCCCTGGGCTGCTCTTCCAAGCCCACAGTAACAGAATTCCTGGTAAGTCAGTGGGTCAGACAGAAATGAGCTAGTTAAGTTTTAGAGGCTGGAGCTCATTCCCTCAGATTGTTTGGTCCTGTGACATGCTCAGCAAGGTCTCGTGTGTTCAAAATTCTGAAAGGTAGTGCTGTTCACTCCATTTCCTACCCCGCCTCTTGTACTGCGGCTTGTCCTTCCCAAATGTTTCACTGCTACAAGAATTCACACTGCACATGAGTGAGTTCATCGAGAGTCAGAGGATGTCTCCTGAAGACTCCACTAAGCGGCGTGAAGAGTCCATTATGGTCCCCATGACTCAGAAGGGACACTTGCTCTTTAATAAGAGAAGATTATTTCTGAAAGGGATAAAAATTTACAGAGATTTCTAGAACACAAGGATTAACAAACTATCACAAAAGATTTTAGTAGATCCTTAATGTATCCACTGTCAAAAACACTTTTAACTCACCAAAGTATTAGATAATATATGTCAATCATTTAAAGGAAATGTGCTTTTATAAAATGAGTAAGTGCTAAATGAATATGGACATGACTAATGCAAAAATTTAATCTTTTGGCTTAATAAGATGGTTGGGCTTTTTGTGGTATTATATTTTTGCCAAAATAAGAAACATTTATATGAATGACATTTGTTTACTAGTTATGACCAGGAAAATTCATATTTTTAAATCAAGTGTATGTTCTTCTGCTGGTATATTCAGCATTAAAATGATTCTATGTAAGCATATGGACAATTAAATAGAAAAATATATTTATTCTTGAACTTATCACCCTAAAGACCTAATGGTTATGTTAAAGTTCATCCAAAAAAGAAAAATTATGCTTTTCTTTCCTTGTTATGAAAGAAACTAGCTAGGGTAGCTTGAGGGCCCTGAAATCTCAGAGGAAGCTCCTAAGAGTTGAACTTTTCAATGAATAATGGCAAGACCTTTCCAGGAGTGAAGGATCTAACAAGTCAATGTCACCTTTACAAGATAGAAAATGGGTGGAGAACTTGAGATGGGAGGAGAAGAAGAAAGATCCTAGCAAGATGGGGGTTCAGATGGGGTGGAAGGTGGGGTCTGCAGTGGTGTTGGAGATACTTACTTCCTGTTATTGATATTGCTTCTTCTTTCTCCTCTTTTACTCAGAAAATGATTGTCATCTCTTTTTTTAGCATAAAGTGTTCAGGACATTTGGCAGAGTTATATCTATAGTCTTTGTTCTCTCTCTCTCTCTCTCTCTCTCTCTCTCTCTCCTCTCTTTCTCTCTGTCTCTGTCTGTCTCTGTCTCTCTCTCTCTTTCTCTCTCTGTCTGATAAATGTTACCAAAGGTATCTTTATTTTTGCACATCCACAGACCAATCAGTTGTTGGAACTAGAGGAATTGTAGGGAACGTGTAATCTTAGCCTTGCCATATGTTGCAGACAAGGAACTGAAGGCTCCACTGTGCTCTGGCCCTCTGTTCACACTGCTTGGAAGCTATCCAATAGGCTCGGATGAGCCTTTCATGGTGTTACCAGTGGGACTCTGAGTGTGAGAATATTCTGAGATGTTAAGGAGTCCTGGATGACAGTGTAGGAATAGCTGAAAGACCTTAAAGGTAGACACAACCAAGGCCCTAGTGGTGGAGCCTTTCATCTTAGTGTCACTCCTTGTTCTGTACCTATGGCTCTCTACCTCCTGTGATGTCCTGAAAGGGAAGATCTTGCATAGCTAAATCCAGGACCTTCTTGACTTGTACGTTCTGTTTCTGTCTGGACATGTGCTAAGACAGAACTTTAAGGATGCTACTATTGACAATGAAAGGTTAGCCAGAGTTAGCAGTTTTTAGAACCAGATGCCTGGGATGGTCTTAGGAAAAGTCATTTTCCTGTCCACTGCTTGCTTTTGTTTGGGCATATGTCTTGTAATCATTGTCAATGAGGTCCCTCACTGTAGGGCTATAAATCTCAATTATAGCCCTAACCTCATCTTGAACTTGACTCCCCTGACTTTACCAAATATGTTGCTAGAGATCAATGATAAATGTTTGTTCTTTGACTAATACTACTATGAAATGATCTACATACCCATTGACAAATGAATGAGTAAAGAAAATGTGATACACATACACACACACACACATGCACATACACACAATGGAGTACTATTCAGTCATAAAGATGACAAATTTGAGTAATTTGTAGAACAATGGATGAATCTTAAGAACATAGTACTGAGTGAAATAAATCAGACACTAGACTATGAATTGCATGGTTTCTTTAATTGAGAAACCCAAAATGTAAGTAATTTAAAGAGCAAAATAAAAGAGAGATGAGAGGAAACAAGGAGGTAGAATCTGTGGAGATGGGAAGGTGATGGGATTGTGGAGAGTAAAAATGACCTAGATGTGATGTGTGTAAGTACCAATTTCTCCAGATGAATGAATAATTGTCTATTGAAGACACACTAATAAAAGAATTAAAAAATAAAAAGAAAATATGATTCTTTTTTTTTTTTTTTGGTTCTGGGGGTCGAACTCATGACCTTGTGCTTGCCAGGCAGGCACTGTGCTGCTAAGCTCTGGCCCAATTCAATTTTTCATCATGCCTGACTTCTCTCTGCTGGCCTCCTCTTTGTTCAAATTTAAAGGAAATTATCATCTCACACAGGAAGCTCTGAGGTCATGCAGGTTAGAAAATTCACCCCAGAACCATGCTCGTGGACCTAAGAGGCTCTATCTCCGTGACCTCAAATGCTAATGTGTGTTGAAACCAGCAGTTTTGCTTGCCTTAGCTAGAGTAATTTCCAGCTTCAGAGAAGGCTCCTATGTCTACTGCCTGGAATTCCGAGGCTGCAGCCCTCATGTAAGAGACAAGTCAGATCCTCCAGGAGCTCCAGGGTGAACTGGACCAGAATAATCCATGGCCCTCTCACAGAGCTGCCTCTCTCTAGCCTGACGCCTCACTCTGGGGGCTCTGGCCAACTGAAAGTGCATCCAAAGGCTAAATGAGCCCGTGAGGAAAATGTCCATGGTTCACCCCTGAATGCAGTGAAGGGATCCTGTAAGGATCGAAGTGAACTGAGCGCACCTTCTAGCACAGTGCAACCTCTCACCTCTGTGGAGTGGCTGCCAGGGTTATTGCTCTTCCACAAGAGGCACCCAAGCACGTTTGACAGTCTTTTTGCTGTTGCCTAGCAACCTTACAGCAATTGATTATGCATGCTAAGAAGTAGCAGCTATTGTCCTTTTTCCTTCTCTAGAAAGAGCTGACTTCAGTTTGAAATGCAAGGCTTCATGCTCAGGTTGACAGATGTCAGATTCCTGTAAATTCTGGTGATTCTCCCAAATGATCTAAGAGCTCAAGGGAGCCATAGGAACCAGCTCAGGATGTGAGTGCACAAAGGCATCTGCAGGCACTCAAGGACACAAGGGGGCTGAACGTGCCTCACTTATACCTCTTGCCTTCCAGGATGCAACTGGACTGCTCCTTTCTTGATAGTTTTGGTGTTTCAGTGTTTTGGGTTTGTCAACCATTTTCCCCTTTCCACTGAATTACAGTCAAAGAAGCCACACAGAGGATGAGACGCGAATAATTAGTCTTTGATCAAAAAGAGTTCTTTACCTTTAAGTAACTCAATCGCCAAGGCAGTGCCTCAACAGTTTTCCCGCATTAACTGTTGCTGTAAGATAGCTATTTTTGGCTCTATCTAACCTGCAGTTCCTAAAACGTTTCTTTGAATATGAAATGGAAGCTGATTTTTTTGTTTGTTTGTTTTTTAAATGTCACCACAAGTCTGCTTCATGGGATCTTTGGCCTTATTTATTTTTCCCTCCCTACTAATAGAGGTTTATTTCTTGAAACAGAATACAGACAATGACAGAGACTTTAGAAAAAAAAAATATATATATATATAACCTAAGGCTCATCAATAGGTGACAAAACCAAGACCCAGAGAAGTTGAATGACTTCCTAAGGAGTACAGGAGTCCAAGGTGCCACAAAGGAAGACTTTGCGCAACACTGGTGAAATCTGCATTTGGCAGGCACCTTTTTAGTGTCTAATTTAGAACATTTATTTCTCATGTTTCTGAATTTGTTCTTCCCAGCAGAGGAAATAATGATGTTTTTCTCCAACGAGGGTTTTAGAAAAAGCTAATTGATGAACCCATAGTCCAGTCAATGTGCAATGTGACAGCTCACACTTCGGTGCCATTGTCATCTTTAGTGGTCCCTGCCAACCCCTTGGTCCAGGCAACTTCCACTCATTCATCAGCTCTCAGTTCAGGTTGCTCTTGACTTGCTTTTGTCTCATCCCCAGTCCTGCAGCCAAGGCAGACCTCCATGGCATATGTCACTAAGGCCTCTGTACTTGTTTTTTATGGCCTTTGTCAGAGCATCCACATTCTATACACATCTGTGGTGAACTATAGCAATGCATGTTTGTCTCCCTTATTACTATAGAATATTCTCCAGGGTAGGACTCAGTCCTTGGGTACATTGCCTGATATGTAGATAATAAAAGCTTGTTGAATAAATGAAGGGATGGGTAGGTAAATGGTGGATGGATGGATGGATGGATGGATGGATGGATGGACATACTGACCACAGAAAAGGAGCCTTTTTGATACAGTAAAGAATTGGCAGTTGGTGTTTCTAGATAAGAAAATTATTTGGTGAACTATTGATAGTCATAGCTGAGAAACTAGAATGATGCTATATAATAATGCAATCCAATGAAAAATCACTTTATAAGTAATGGAATAACTAC